ATCCAAAAAACATTGATTGAGAAGATAGAAATTTCTGCAAATTTTTCCTGTCAAAACATTGAAAAAAAGTAATTCATGTTTCAATGATGTTCTGTGTGTAGGACATGATGCAAAAATTAATCATGTTCCTTCAAGGATAATGCTGTATTTTCCATCTATTGTCTTTGAAATAACAGCTTAAAATAATGTTAATTTTCTTCTCTGTGTTCTTCAAATATACTATGTTTTTCAAATGTTCTGTGTATATTTGAAAAACACAGAGAAGAAAATTAACATTATTTTAAGCTGTTATTTCAAAGACAATAGATGGAAAATACAGCATTATCCTTGAAGGAACATGATTAATTTTTGCATCATGTCCTACACACAGAACATCATTGAAACATGAATTACTTTTTTTCAATGTTTTGACAGGAAAAATTTGCAGAAATTTCTATCTTCTCAATCAATGTTTTTTGGATGTTTGATGGAGGAACATGGGAAAATGCCTGCAGTGAGTCTGAGTGTTACAGCGATATGTAGAAGGATGAGCATTGAAGTCAAATACTGCAAAATCTCTCAGCAAGTTTTTCTGGGAAGATATCTACTGCCGATATGGAGCTATAGGCCAAATAACAACTGACAATGGTCCAGAAGTTAAAGGAGCATTCTCGGAATTAGTCAAAAGAATTGACATACCACAGGTTACTATTTCTGCATACAATTCACAGGCTAACGGAGTTGTAGAAAGAGGACATTTCACTTTAAGAGAAGCACTAGTGAAAGCATGTGGGAAGAAGATTAATCAATGGCCAAACAAGTTGCCTCATGCCCTATTTGTAGATAGAATTATGACAAGCCGAGTTACGGGCTTTTCAGCCTTTTACTTAGTCCATGGAGTACATCCAGTCTTACCTTTTGATTTAGCCCAAGCAACATTTATGGTGGAAGGATTTAGAAGTAACATGACTTCAGAAGAATGACTAGCTTTAAGGATACAACAGCTGGAGAAACGACCAGAAGATTTGGCTCGTGCAGCAGAAACCTTAAAAAAGGCACAGTTTAAATCAAAGGAGCAATTTGAGAAAATATTTTCTCTACGGCTACAGAGAGGACATTACAAACCTGGGGAATTAGTCCTAGTACATAATACAAGAATTGAGAAAGAACTAAATCACAAAACCAAACCCAGATATTTAGGACCATATTCTGTAGTGCGCAGAACAGAAGGAGGATCCTACGTTTTGAGAGAATTGGACAGAGTTGTTTCAAAACGAGGTGTAGCAGCCTTCAGATTACTTCCTTATATTTCGCAAGTCTCAAAAGGATTTGCTCAACTGCACCAGTTTGCAGATCATTTGTATTTATCTTCAGAAAATTCATCATCTTTGGAGCATCCATACAATAGTTCAAGTACTTCAGATTAGAAGTGCACATTTTTTCTGCAGTCATGCCACCTCCACAATATCCTGAGCTTTTCGTCAATCAGCCTCTTCAGGATGCACTCGAATATTTGTTGCACCAGTTACTGGCCACTTTATTCTGGCATTTGAGTGCAGAACATGCACACAATTTATATCATCATCTAGGAAATATAATTTTTATATGGAACACTGGCCTAATAGCACAAATCCAACAAGATTGTGTCATTTGCTATAGACTCTTGCGGTGGATTCACAGTATAGAGAGACGACTTGCTACCCTGCCAGACGTGGCCTGAGAATACGTACAAATACATTTGAGTACTGTTAATAACCACAATTGGCAAGCTATAGCGCCCAGGCAGTGGACATAAGCTTAATCCTAATTGCATTGAGACCATTTTCCAATTCAATTGTCAGCTGTTCTAGCCATATGACCCTACTTTTCATTGACCCTACGCTCTCGTCATACCCGTAGAATCATAAGTAACTTGAGGCCGAGCGCAAAAATGCGGACTCTTGCCGAGTAAGAAAAGGATTAGCGAAGGGAGCATGTTGCAGCAGAAATGAGGCCCAGTTAACCCAGGCTGGGAGTGCACGATCACACTCGACAAGGATGATACAAACATTGGCCTTGTTACAATCTTTAGCCTGCTCGGGGGTCAGCACACAATAGACATCATGGATGAGTTTGGTATGGAGGTGGCTTCACCGCCTCCATACAAAGTATCGGCTCCATAAACATGCTTGGCTGCGCACGACACGGGCCGTATAGTTGTCATGATTAAAATGATAAATGCCTGGTGGGCAAATTAAAAGAAAACGGGCCCATTCAGGCCTGATCTCCTTAATGTTGTGGTGAGTAATTTCAGCTGCAATACTTGCGGCTGAGAGACAGGCGACGCGCACGTAAGACATTGGATACGTCCCATTAAAAGCTATTGTGGGGCAATAGTTGCGCCCGCAATGTAGTCCACTGTAGAGACTAATATCTCTGTGGCCTCGTAGAGGTCTAAATTCCCAATGTCCTAATCACCTCCCGAATACAGCGCGACACATATATCGCTAGCGTGCTCTCAGTGCTCCATTGGCCACTCATGTGCACGAGCGCTTCGGTCGTGCATCTTTGGTTCTGTCCCCCATCCTCCATCCATCCATTCCATGTCTGTTTGGTTCACGGTGCGTATTCCTATCTGTTTTCTCATGTTCTGACATATCTCCGGCGCTTGCACATATATTCCATATGTTATAGACCCTTATTACATGTTATCTCGTATTCACTTCGCTTCTCGGTTTGCTTTAGCGCTTGACAGCGCTTAAACGCTTCATAGTTAGAATATATATATCCGCATCTCGTTGTAGAAAATGGCATCTTTCTTCTTGCACATCATTGGACTTTAAGTCTAAATTCTCCGCTATAGCCACCAAACGCTATCAAAATATCTAAGAATATTCGAGTGCTAGTCATCGCGCCCTTCTAGAACCTCTGTTACTTATCCTCCGGCTCGTTAAAAGAGTTGCTCTGCTCCACCCACACACATGCCCTCGCACCTCGTCGCTCAATAAGCGCTTATTAGCGCTTCCGCATGTTCGCACGCCTTACCAGGCTTGACTAAGCACCCGGTTCAGTGTTTCCCTCCAATTATACACTTAGAGGAACCTTCTCAGTAGCAATCCCCTTGGGCCGACATTAGCTCGCGCACAGAGGACCATCTGAGTTTATCTCATACTACCTATTTACCTACCCTTTACATTCCTCACCTACACCGCGATAGGGGTACAGAACGTTGGTGTTGTACACCAGTGGGTCCACGATCATTGAGTTGGTCGTGACATTGAACGTGAATGCACGAACAAGTGATGGCATCGAGCTGCTGATACATCCCCTGCAGTCGCTTGCAACAAGGAGATTGCAAAGGTTGTCGAAGCTGGCAATAGGAGGGGAAACGAGGACCGGTTCCTCCTTGAAGATGTCATTGTCGGATGAGTAACCTGTGCAGCTTTCGCTGCTCGGATACTCATAGAATAGTGGGTCCACGATTACTGGCATTGAATTGTTGAAGGTAGAGGTCGGGGATGCTGGCAAGGGAGGTTGATGAGTGGGATCAGTGCGCAGCGTATGTTCCGCCTCCTCCTGCTTGAGGAGGAGAGGAGTTGATACTGAAAACATAGTTAAATGGTTAATATGATGATGAAAAAAAATGGTGGCATTAAGCACACCAAACTGAGAGACACCCGGCAAAAAGTCCAACAAGGCAGAATCTGCCAGCATGTACAAACATTCTCCAAGATGGAGAATTGGCGGTGATGGTGATGGCGACACTGATGAGGGTGGTGATGGCAATGATGGTGACAAGTTGCCATTGGCAACTTGCACCAGGGAATGACTGTCAGCTGCAGATTTTTCCACTGAAAAAAAATAGTAGATTAGATAAAGAAATGAGAATCCAAAAAGATGTGCTGGTGCACCAGACAGAGGCATACAAAAAGGGCCTAAAATATTAATAGATAGCAGAGCTGATTCTATATGGGCCGCATGATGGGCTTCTATAGTCACCCTAAGTTGGGCGACCGCCCTTCCTAAGTCGTGGAAGCTGCATTCAAACAATGGAGGAGATGAGTTGAGGTGAGTGGGGAGGATGCTTTGGTAATGAGGGAGAAGGGTGCCGGCTTCATTGCGCTGGCCAAACACGACCAAACAAGGAGATCGGATGTCTCGAGCATCGTTTGGAAGGATCGGACTTCCAATCGGAAGGTGCTGGTTATGGCTGTGCCCAATGTGCAGCGAAAAATGTGAGCAAATAGAATAGAGAAGCTGATATGGAGTGGTGTGGGTAACTCGGTTGCCGTAGGCCTGGTACTGTAGGGAATTCAGCGCAATGTAATCTGCCACGTGATTTCCTAAAAGGGTATGGGCACCCGGAAAATCAGCAATTTCCCTGAGAGTTTGGAATTCTCGGGATGTTTGCAACCAAAATTCTTGGGCACCTCAGCCCAAAAAGGCAGCGACGTGGGAATCAGGCTGGAATATGACAGATGTAGCGCGTTCCATAGGAGTTTTTGCTGTCCCTCCTTCAAAAAACTTAGGGGTTTTTATACTCCAAGTTAACTTAATGAATTCTTGCAATGTAGCCTTTCTTAGTACTGTTGTAGAATATTCTACATGTTTCAAACAGAAAGAAAAGCTAGATAACAGAAAACAAAAAAACATTGTGACTAAGCATCTTATCAATGCTTCTATTGAACTTTGACGCGAAGGGGATGCCCAAACTTGACTTGAGAAGCATTCTTTGGAAGTTTCCGGAAGTTTCTGAATATTAACTTCTTTCATTAAGCAGCACATGACTTCTTCTCGAGGCACAATTAGAAGCTCTAGATCTGGAGCTTCTTCTGATACCGGATTTGGAAATGTTAAGAAGGTTCTGTCCCTTCTTTCTAGAAGACCCACTTTGTTGGCTGTTTGCCAAGATCATCCCAATAATAGTTTGAAAGGGGCCTTTTTATTAAGAAGCACTGTCCCTACAGTTTGAATATTCCCAATGTTGATAGGGGCATGATGAATTATTCACCAATTCCTCCATTGGTGTCCCGTAAACTGGTTCAATGGTTCATGTCTGCCAGTAACCGCAATCCTTTACGATATATTGCAGTGTTTAGAATATTGATTTCACTTCCTGTGTCAAATATTGCTTTGACTTTACATCCATTGATATCTGCATCAATATAAATCAAATCTCCACATGTTTTGACCATCTGTCCCCATGTGAGGAATGTTTCTGCAGTTGGCCAATCTTTTCCCGACTCAGGTTTCAGTAGATCGATCAGGCTTCCTGACAAATCCTTTGATGCTGCTAGAATTTCGCGAGCTGAAATTTGAATCTGGCTGTTCAGTATTCGATCGATTAAAACTCGCAAGTTCGTGTTCACTGCAAGTTCTGATATTCTTGGTGCATATTTTGTCCCTTCTTGATTTGTCATAGGAACTACTGTCTTTGGTTTGTCATTCAGAGGTTTAGTATTTGAGGTATTGTCCCCCTTGCTTCCTTTAGGTTTCTCTTTCACCCGTATTGCTGGTGAATCATCCATTACAATATCTTCGTCATTGTTGGCATTATAGTGTGGCTTCTGAGTTGCTACCACATCTTCTAACTTCTTGACTTGTGAAGGAATAAATTCCCGTGATGGAGGTGCTCCTGGTCCTGGCTTTACTCTTGCTGGTTCTATTAGCCGATGTAGTACTCAGGCTTGCACTGAGCATGTATTCAGCCAATTCCCAACGCATGTCAAACACTTGAATCACTTCCCAATGTTATCTGACACTTATCCGCTCAATCCGATGTTTATCCGCTAACCCGACGCTAACCCGACATAGTCCGACACTAATCCGACGGACCCGATGTTTCCCGTGCATCGGACCCGATATTTTCCCGCGCACTTGTCCTCCCTATGTCCTGTCCTGTCGTATCTATCCCCACTAGGTGCGCAGTTATCAGTTTTCACACCGCTAACACTGTAGACTGTGTTATTACATGTCCGCAGTACCACATGTCTTATTACATAGGACATCAGATCCGAAAATTACCGCTACTACTTTCGCCTATAGCACTCCAAAATTCTACATAGACACTATATATTTTACATGCCTCCTACTTACTTATTTACCTTTCTACCTCCGAGTAGGAGGAGGTCATTAGATATTCGTAGTTCTTCGCTGAATTCCACAAATATCATCCTTTCATTATCCGAAACACTCCGAAAACACTGACAGTAACCCGCCATTTACTTTCCCCAACATTCATTACATTCCCGACGCTAATCCGATGTAGCCCGACGAAACCTGCTAACCCGAAACCCGAAAACATCGGACCCGATGTTTTTACCTTCGGACTCTGTTTCCCGTGCTTCGGACTATCTTCCTTTAGTATCACTGATTATTCTAATACCTTACAGCGAACCCCTCGGGTCGAACACACTTGTCTTGCAAGTATAGCAGACTAGGCTGTGCAGACCACAACATTATTATATTGCTGGTTACTTACTTCGTGTAGTATCCAGCAATTGTTGTCTTGTTACACCAAATAGTGTCTTGAATTTGTGTTCTCGCTTCTGCCGGCTTAATAGCCATTACCACTTCCTCATCTGGTATCTCTTCAATTCTGCCAGTTGAATCTATGTTGACTTCTTCTGTTGTTTTCCTAACATCCTGAGTTGTTTGTCTTGCACTGACAGGTACATTTTCCTTTCCTTGTCGCTCTTCCTTACATTGATGATGTTCACGCTTTAAAATTTCCCGGTGATCTTTTGCAGTTGGTGGATATACCCCATCGAAGACTTCATGTCTTTTCCCTGATCTGTCTTTGATGGTCCTCTCAGCTGGGTAAACCAAATATTCATGCTCCTCATCACTGTCTAAGTCACTTGCTACTGCTGGAATATAATATACCTCATGTTCACTTGATTCCCAGTCATCCTCGCTTATTACTTTGACGTAATGTGTACTTAGGGTTTGCTGACTCATCAATCTCTTCTGAGCCATGACAAAGGTCTCTTCCCCTTCACGTCTTAGTTCCACACCTCCTGGTAGTGTTATTCTGCCCATGCTATCTTGTGTCAGCGCTCCTTTTTCTATTAGAGCATTAATTTCTGGACATGCAGATAATCTGTGGGTATTTCCTCCACATCCGTAGCAGACATACCTTGGTGGACCTAGTCTAACATTATTGGGGTATGTTGGTGTGAATTGATGTTCTGGTGGTCTTGATGGCCTCTGAGCCTGCAATGGTGCAAAGTTATTCTGAGATCTGGGCTTATCAAATACATCTTTCACTGTAGCATCTATCTTCAAAGCTTGGAAGTATAGTAATGCGTAACTTGGATCATCTATGGATAGCTTACTTGAGTGTTCCACAATGTCCTGTATTTGCCCACTATCTTCAGACTTTGATTTCTTCTTCTTCTTGCATACTTCTTCTTCGCTTGAACTTTCCGATTCTGAATCTGAATCCTTTGGCTTATACTTCTTTGATTTGGTTTTCCTTTTTCGACCCTTGTGGCTGCTCATGTCATCATCATCATCTGAACTATCCTCAAACCTTACTTTATGCCTACTTGATCTAGACTTTGTCTTGGTTGATTTCTTATGCTTTGATTTGTGCCTAGATTTACGGTCATCTTCCAATTCTGAATCACTCTCACTTTCTGAGTCACTGCTTGAGTCTGATGTAGAATCAGTCTCTCCTCCTGATGTTTCTGAATCAGAGTAGGCAAAGTTAGTCTCAAAGCGATCCCTTTGTAGACAGTTCTCCACCACAGCCATTATTCCAGCAGGTGTATATGGTGATTTGCGGTCCCGCAATGGATCCTTGGCAATTAATCTACTCTTGATCCTATCCCTCAATCCTCTATGCATTCCCTTCCAAAGGTATGTGGCATGATCATTTGCACTAATCTTCTTATGTGTCATGAGCTATCCTCCTATGGTGGTGAATTTTCTCATATAGTGTTTCCACTCTGATAAGGTTTTGATTGGCTTCTCTTTCCTGTCCCTGATAAACTGAACCAAATCTCGTGGTGTATATCGCTTAGAATCACGATCCGCATCATAATATTTCAGCAGGTCAGTCTTAAGCTGTGTCCAATTGTGTGAATTGTAGCTATCCAATACCTCAATGAGTGCTGAAACAGCACTTGAACAATATTGAGTAATATTCTCACACATATCCTTAGGGGTTGTCATGTGACATTGCTGACAAACACCCTCATATCTCTTGATGAAGTCCTTGACTTGTGTATAATCCCCTTTGAACTTAGGAGGTGCATTTTTTGTTCCTGGGTATGGCAGAATTAATGGTCCTTGTATTGTGCCCACTCCAAGTATGGTTGGTGCAGTGCTCGTCATGAACACTGGTGCTGCTGATGTGGTCATGGTAGCAGATGAATGAGTTGTAGTTGCAGGCAACTCGCTAGCTGAAGTAGTTGGAACTGTGGTACCAACACTACCCATGATGATACGATATGATAACGAATATGAATGATGTGCTGCTAAACATGAAATATGATGTCAAACAGTCAAGGGTCCTGTCCAATGAGCAACAGTATTTTTCCCTCGCGGTGGGCTCCAATTATGTCTTACTAGGATGTGAAAACAGTAAAATTCACCAATTTTCAGTATCCTACCATGGTCAACAGTTCAGACAAATACCAACAGTCGATAACGTGGTCATTCGTGGGAAAAAGTGTGTTGAGTTTTCAAAGGAAGTACTCAGTGACTAAAAGGGGGGAAACAGAATCAGTAACTGGCTTGATGCAGTGCTATGATCCTAAAGAAAGTCAATAACTGGTGTGATGCAGTACTATGACTTCAATGAATACAGATGTATGTCTTATGTGATGATTCTCAGAGCTATAATGATACTCCCTATCTTCACAAACCAATTGGAGATCAAACTAAGCCTCTAACACGGATCAGCCCGATGTAACGAGACAACAATGGCTGAATACTACTCGAAGTAAGTAATCAGCAATATAATAATGTTGTGGTCTGCACGTCCTAGTCTGCTATACTTGAAGACAAGTGCGTTCGACCCGAGGGGTTCGCTGTAAGGTATTAGAATGATTAGTTATACAAAAAGGAAGATAGTCCGAAGTGCGGGAAACAAAGTCCAAAGGTATAATTACGAGTCCAAAGGTAAAAACGTCGGGTCCGATGTTTTCGGGTTTCGGGTTAGCGGGTGTTGTTGGGCTACATCGGATTAGCATCGGGAATGTAATGAATCGTGTTATCACTTTGATATTTGTTAGCACAGAACACCGATACTGTACATTTAAAGTCATCTCATCTTCGACAGGCGGCGCGTCTAAAACGGCCGGCGGGAACGGCGGACTGGTGGGAGCACGCTTCACACCAGGGCATTCGCGCGCCTAGAGATGCGTTGGGGACACTGGGGGTCCCCACGACTAGATAGTATTGTCCTCCTTAGAGTTTCACTCTCCATAGGACATAAATTGGAATTAAAAATAAAAATAAAAAAATAAAAAAATGTAATGAATGTTGGGGAAAGTGAATGGCGGGTTACTGTCAGTGTTTTCAGAGTGTATCGGATAATGAAAGGATGATATTTGTGGAATTCAGCGAAGAACTACGAATATCTAATGACCTCCTCCTACTCGGAGGTAGAAAGGTAAATAAGTAAGTAGGAGGCATGTAAAATATATAGTGTCTATGTAGAATTTTGGAGTGCTATAGGCGAAAGTAGTAGCGGTAATTTTCGGATCTGATGTCCTATGTAATAAGACATGTGGTACTGCGGACATGTAATAACGCGGTCTACTGTGTTAGCGATGTGAAATCAGATAACTGCGCACCTAGTGGGGATAGATACGACAGGACAGGACATAGGGAGGACAAGTGCGCGGGAAAATATCGGGTCCGATGCGCGGGAAACGTCGGGTCCGTCGGATTAGTGTCGGACTATGTCGGATTAGCAGATAAACATCAGATTGAGCGGATAAGTGTCGGATAACATTGGGAAGTGATTCGAGTGTTTGAAATGTGTTGGGAATTAGCTGAATACATGCTCAGCACAAGCCTGAGTGCTACAGTGCAAATATATCTCGAGAGCTATTGCTCGCCGCTCTGCTACCATTTGTAATGCACTGGAGAAGTACAATAAAATGGCACCGCTTCAAATACCTCCTCGACCCATCCTCAACTACGCAGAAGTTGTCGGATATGCCACTCTTGGTGAATTCACCCTTCTGAAATATTCTTGTCATGATCTTCTTGCAAAACCATGGGCGGTACCTGAAACTCGGGAAATGAGCGCCAAATACTTTAAACTTGTCCGGTCTCATGAGGAAATCACCCGTTTGAATGTTGAGATAGGCCATCTTGATGCTTGGGTTGAGTATGACGACAAAAAGATGCTCGAAGTCATTAAGATGTTGGTTGCTGATGATCCACCCTCTCTACTTGCCGCTGAGTTGAGGAAGCAATACTCAGTCCACCATCGCATCAACAACGCCCATCACTGTCGCTTACACAAGATTCGCCAACTCAAAGGCTACAGCGGCCCAATTCCGGTTATGCAACATGACTTTGCAGAGGAGGGTCAAGATGATGAAGGGAGTGGAGACCCTGAGGAAAATGATGAGTTGGGTGACAAAGCTTCATGCCTTGAAGATACCATTAGTTGCATTCGATAATATAGTACGTTAGCTACAATCTCAATATATCTCAATCTGATGGACATACAAGAGGGACACTATGCTATGGATAATAAGGGAACATACGAAAATGAGACATTATAGTTGCATGATGAGGGGCGAGCCTGAGTCTAGTAGTATTTAGTAGTAGTTGCATGATGAGGGTTGAGTCCTAGTAGTTCAATGTGCTGCTCACTGGTTAAGTTGCACCTAGGCCATGAGCCAAGTCACTGGGAAATATGTGAGTCTGATCAAATAGATTCACTGGATCAATGTTCATGTTGGATTACACTTCCCCCATGCACTTATCACTACCACACGCCCATATGTTCAGCGCATGGCACATTCCATTTCAACCCCACCATGGGTTTCGACGCTGCCACTATCTCTAGCAATGACGACGCTTTCGACCTTGATGCTGGAGGGGTTCACATTCCATTTCAACCCTGCCATGGGTTTTGACACTGCTACTATCTCTAGCAATGACGACACTGGAGGAGTTCGCGTTCCATTTCAACCCCACCATGGGTTTTGATGCTGCTACTATCTCTAGCAATGACAACACTTTCGACCTTGACGCTGCTACCATTTCTAGCAACAATGATGCTTTCAACCTCACACCCATATGTTCAGCGCATGGCGCATTCCATTTCAACCATGCCATGGGTTTCAATGCTGCCACTATCTCTAGCAATGACGACACTTTCAACCTTGACGATGACAATATACTTTCTTACTCTTAGTACAGGTATTTTGCATGATGGAGATCACCTGGGACTGCACATATCTACTAACAGATCATCGAAGGAGCAGTTTTAATAAAACTTGTGTCTGTCATATCCCGCGTTCCGGACCCGGACCTATCACACACATCATTTCTGGATTTCCGGATCCAGCCGACTTCTATGTATCATCCGGATCTGACCTGCGTCTAACTTTCGTGCCTTATCCCTTTGAATGTTCCTTCTTGAGTTAGACTTCCTCATTTTCCGTACCTCGTTTCATTTCCGGCTTTATTTTCCTATGTCTTCATCTCCATCTTCATTTACTATTTTCCGATAGACTAGTGTTTGACTTTTCTACATCCTCCGTCCACAGCCTCGCATAGCTTCGGACTGCGCTGACTGACTCTCTGTTAAGTCCTCTGTAGTATATAAACTCTGTAGAATCTTTGTACTTCTTCAGTTCAAATATTATCTTAGACTCTGCTCATTCCCTCCTCCATCCGACTTGAGTTCTCCTCTCGTCGTTCTTCACTAGTCTTATGATTGACTCCTATAGACATATCACCTCCGCCTCTACCTCTGGTAGTCCTCCACTGTTTCCTTTCTAGTTCGGACTTCGTCCAGATTAGTCTTATCACTTGTTCCCGAATGTCCGCCGGAATTCCCGCGCATCGGACATCGGACTCCGGACATTGTCCAACAACCTTCGGACATCATCCATTAGCCTTCGGAAGTTAGGGGCACATACTCGGGTAAGGGGCGCAGCGCACGAGCTGAAGCCAAGCCCTTCGGATCCGACCCTTGAGCACATTCTTAACAGTGTCGTAAGTTCATGTTTGTAGCACTATAAGTATAATTACTGCGCCGTGTCATATCCCGCATTCCGGACCAACATCTGACGACGTTCCCACGCCTCATCCGGACCTCCGGACCTCCTGTCCATGTCTCCAGACCCAATCCTCTATCCGTCCGGATCCCTGTACTCCTGCATCTGATATCCAGACGCCAGATCTGATATCCACATCTCTGGATCTCCGGATCCGACCTATCTGTCATGTCCGAACTCAAACCTTAAATCAGCGCCCATCTCCTTATGGTAATCACCTGTCTCCGGACTTCCGAACATTCGGATCCAACCCGCATCTAACTTCCGTGCCTTATCCCTTTGTACGTTCCTTCTCAAGTTAGACTTACTCATTTTCCATACCTCGTTTCATTTCCGGCTTTATTTTCCTATGTCCTCATCTCTGTCTTCATTTACTATTTTCTGATAGACTAGTGTTTGACTTTTCTATACCCTCCGTCCACAGCCTCGCATAGCTTTGGACTACGTTGACTGATTCTCCGTTATGTCCTTTGTAGTATATAAACCCTGTAAAGTCTCTATACTTCCTCAGTCTGAATATTACACATATTAGTCCTCGCACTAGCCTTCACCCTAAGTCCTCGTAACAGTTCTAGTCCTCCGACTTAGTAATTATCCATCTCAGGCCTAGGGAGGAATTCCCTAGGCTGGAGCTCCGCTCCTCCGCTCCTCCGATCCACCATTCCTCCAAGTTTCCGGAAGTTCCTCCGGAACTTTCCCGCGGTCCTCCGGACCTATTCTGCTTAGGACTTTGTCCTTGCAGCCTTTCCTTTGTTTGCTTCTACTCAGGACTTGTCCTGAGTAGCCATTACACATATCCCTGTCAGGACAAAACTCCATTGTAATTTCCAGAAGTTCCTCCGGAACTTTCCTGCACTCATCCGGAAGTTTCTCGCACTCGTCCGGAAAGTCCTTCCGACGTTTCCCACACTCCTCCAGAAGTCCTTCGGACTTCACTGAACTTTCTCTGGACTTCATTCTGAAGTTAAGGGCACATACTCGGGTAAGGGGCACAGCGCACGAGCTGAAGCCAAGCCCCTTGGAATCAGTCCTACCCTTTGTGCACGGTCTTAACACACCGCTTCTCACCACTTTCAACTTTTCCTTACAGACTACCATGGCCTTTCAGCTTACCGATGGACTAGACCGTCTCAAATATCTGGACCTACATGGAGCACTTGTTAGTATCATTTTCATTCTGAGTTTTGTTTTGACTCAATAGTTATAATCTGGCTGCCATAATCATAGAAATCACAGTTCAAGATCAAGCTTAGCACTGAGTTTTTGTTCAAGAAGTGTCAAGGTTTCCTCTGTCTGTTCCCTGTCGTCCAGACGTCACTCCACACATGTGAGCCTATCAAGAGGCACCCAGAGAAGCACATGCTCAACAAGATCCATACACTATTCTCCAGCACAATCGCACCTGAGGTTTGCCGGTGCTGGTTCAGTTGGGAAACTGTTGAGCTACCTGACGGCATGCTCCAGAGTGAGTTTTAGAATTTTCTCGAGCTTTATGTCACAATAGCTTGGATTATTGTAGGGCTTGCTGCTTTGATGAGCTTGAGCGCAAGACTCCAAGTCAAGCAATGAACGCCTCGTCATATTTGTTCCCAGATCCTCTGAACTCTCATCAAGTATCACCTGAAAGATCCACTCAATGGAATGACTGCAGAGATTCGCTCATTTCAGAAGGTCTTTCATCTGTGCATCTTTTCATGTTGTACACTTACAAGGATTCACTCATTTCAGAATGTCCCTCATTTGCGCGCCTTTCCATGTTGTCTATTGCAACTAGATCATCCTTACACTCACTTTCTGATTCCGATGACAATGACACTGACAATGAACAGCCTTATCTTCTAAGTTCACCACTGACACTGAGAAAAGTGCCTGCAAAGGAACATAATTTGATTGGTGCTCCACCACCATGCCCGCCACCTTTCATCATCACACCTTGCTCGCCTCCGTTAAAACTGAACAGAGTAGCTCAGAAACATGGTTCTAACTTGGACAAGTCCTTGCATAATTTGGTGAGTCACGCTATGCGCTTTTCACTTTATTGTACTTACAGATAAAACAGCCTCAGAAGACTGTCAAGGGACATATTTTGGAAGCCGCACTACCACCATCACATCCTTTCATCCTCGCTTCTTCGCCTCTGAAGAAAAAGACTGCACCTATTGTCGTTGCACCTTCGCCACCCTCATTAAAGTCATGAGGAGCGCCTGTTCAGCAACGCAGTTCTAACTCAGATGAGCCCCAGCACAATCCTGTGAGTAAACATACCACGATTTTATGCAGTCAAACTGATGGATAAAATAGTCTCAGAAGAAGGCTGGTACTAATGTGAAGGCTGCCCGGTGCCATGGATCTAAGAGGGATGAGCCGTTGCACAAACCTGTGAGTCAATATACACATTTTTGGATATGGAACTAATGGATAAATGAAATCAGACTACTGGTGCTAAAGTTCAGGCTCCAAATTCTGTACGCATTACACAAGGAATCGACCAAGGGATCTCAATCACTAATCACATTTATCTTACCACTGATCCCCGTGTTGCGGAGGGCTCGTCAGATGCACAGGCCAGTCAGGTCTCAGCAAGTATTCATGCCTGTCTCAAGGACTTGAGAGTTCTGCCAATGACAATGGATGAAATTTGGAGGTGCATCAATCAAAAGGATGGATATGAACCTTTTGCATGGCAAGCTATTCTTGCAAAACTGAACATTCCAGAGGATCACATGGCATCAATCCTTGCTGTGATGGCCCATGCAAGTAATCACTATCTTCGTAAGTTTTAACTCGGTCATGTTGCTTGTGTGCCCGGGTTAATTTCTTGGTATAGTGGGCACAAACAATTTTTTTAAATATAGCTATGATGTTTGAATGTACTTGAATGCAAATGTCATATTCTAGGTTTGGCTTAGCTATGAAAATTTGATTTCATCTTGACCTCTTTGGTTACTGGAAGTTCTTTCTCACTCGCAACACAATATAAAGTAAGTTGATATCAATGCTTTTATTTTCATTGTATACTATACATGGCTCATACAGGAAAGTTTCAACATTCATGAGCAAGGCTGTCAGCGGCTCAAAAAGCAGAACGTCGGGCTCAACTGGAAGCATTGACCACTGCCATTGATTCAGCCAAGTCTGGGTATGCGCAGGAGGCCATTCATATTGCAGAAACACATGGGCGGTAAGGTCAATGTATCGGAGAACTGATTTATCACTAACTTTGTACATGGGTCTAGTTCACTAAAGTGGACTTGAAGCCAGCTATTCTTGAAGAGTCACTTGCTTCAGCAGCAACAGGGTGTCAATTTGTGGAATGGCTTTGTATGAGCAAAACTCAAGGAGGCCAATGAAGGTATGTCTTTGTCTTGGTGCATCAGCTATATTGATGAACTTACTTTCATGCAGGTTGTGAAAAGGGCGAGCACATCAAGCTTACAGAATTCATTGCTCAGAATAAGAGAGCTTGACCGTACTTATTTTAAGCTCACCTTTGTGCAAAAGCAAGTCTACAAAGCACAGATCCTTGAGGTGCATGAGATGAAGCAAAGGACTGCTCGGGCCAACCCAAAGGCAGTTCGACATGACATTAATGCTTCGTTGTCCTCGATGGATTGTGAAGTATGTAGTATTTATTTTCTTTCATTATATTGACTTGACTTATCATTTTATCAGTGGATGGCACTCTGTGCTCGAACTGGCGCAGAAGGTTTTATATTGCAGTGCACAGGGGGATCAAAGACCTCTCAGAGCCTAGGATTTTTTTCACTCAGAAGGCGGAAAAGTTTGTCAAGGACATTCTTCACATGGAACCACGGCACCTTGGACTCAAACTAGAGTCCTATGTTATTAGCGGCCTGGGTTAGTTCCTTCGTTCTCTTATTAATATATCAAAATGCTAATATTGTTGTTGCAGATGAAGGTGTCACACCCAACCACCAGTGCCCATTAAATAAACTCATCAGTGAATGTTGTACCTTTATTCAGGATGGGCTAAGTAATTATTTTTTTCACTCAGTCACACGTTATGCTGATACTCTAACAGAGTCTATTATGATCAAGAAGAATATAAAAGGCTCTGTTAAAATGAGCTACACTAACTATGAGTGCAATATCGTCGAGGGCCATGGTCTTGAGCTGGTGAACTGGCCTCTTTCAGGTCCAGTGCGTAATCCAAGTAAAGTAGGTGGCAGGAACGAGGTTGAAAATTTATGGGTAGCACTAGAAAAGGGGACATGCCACTGGGTTACTCTGTCTGATGACAACCGTAGAGCACGGATGCAGCTCAACCAAGAGCGCCACACCAAGGGTGAAGTAGTGTATGTGGTGAGGAAGCAGAAGAGAACAAAAATGAGCCATGCTACCATCAACATAGACACTGATGATGAGAATGCACCTTGAATTTATATTAACCACCTCTATTCCTCTTCTCATTGTATTGTCTGCTCGCCTGCGCTCGTCCTCCAGCCTTTCATGCTGTATTCGAGTGAGCGAAGCTGTAGTGGTACGAAGTGAGTGAGATGAGTCAAGGATTGACATCTTCACCTGCGAAGAGGTCAACATGCACTTGGAATTGTGCATGTTGCTGGCTGGCGAGATGGGAGTGTGAACTGGGAGGCGAGGCACTAGTATGGTAGTAGTAGGCACTCTAGAAGATAAACATTAGTAAGCAGGCTGCGGAGACATAGATGGGAGACTCAGCAGTTAGCTATTGTGCACATTTTAGATGTAATTCAAAGGAATAATGGATAACATACCTTATCAAACCCAATACAAGAAAGAAGTAAGAAAAACGGTTAAGTTTTGAGTGAGTTGAGCGAGCTCGTTGTGTGTGGTAATGAGCAAGGTAGTTGAGGCGATGTGGGAAATGATTGTGAGGCGGTGGGGAAAATAGCGGCCACCGGTAATGCTCAGTAATCCGGCCATTCGGAAATAGGCGGATTATATAACTTATGTTTTAAGACACTATTTACCGAAGATATTTTATTTTACCAAGGGACTGCTGAGTGCTGCAGGAAGTGCTGAAGTGCTGCAGCAGAAGTAAACCCTACTACTTAGTAAGGAAGATCCTATCACATCAACGTTACTAATGAGTGCTATTAATGGTGACACACAGGTGATTTGTCATAATGAAGTCTCTGCATGGTTTCCTAATGTGTCACCAAGTCACATGAGTCCAATTATGTAATGAGGTATGAAGTCTTTCAGTCTTTCCTCTGAGTATTGTGAAAAATGAGAGGCTCGCGTAAAAGCGAACATGTTCAAGATGTGACACAAAACATACCGATTATGTAATATGATGTCAGGATATGTCACAAAGTATGTTCCAGAACATGTGAAAATGTGTGAGAAAATTATAGGAAGTGTGAGAAATTGCTGACTAAGTGAAGAATTGTGCGTTTGAAACCAATCTTTCAGAAGGATAAGTATTATTCTGAATGTTAAGTAGTGGTGCACTCATTTTTGAATCCGAAATTACTCAAATAAAATATGGGTGCTACACAGAAAATTCTAGATAGCATAATGGGCTATTATGAAGGGTATTACAGCTAAATATTTACCATGTTCATGTACAAAACTTGTTTTGTGCATGTCACCGGTCAGCTTCTATCTTCCGGATCTTTTCCCTTTGTTCCGATAGACTAGTGTTAGGTGTTTCACATGCTCCGTCCATAGCCTCACATAGCTTTGCACTGTGCTGACTGATTCTCCGTTATGTCCTCTGTAGTATATAAACCCTGTAAAGTCTCTGTATTTCCTCAGTTTGAATATTATCTTAGATTCTGCTCATTCCCTCCTCCGTCCAACTTGAGTCTTCTCTTGTCGTCTCCAATAGTCTTAGGATCAACTCCTATTGACTTACTGCCTTTGCCTCTACCTTTGGTAGTCCTCTGCTGTTTTCTTTCTAGTTCAGACTTTGTCTGGATTAGTCTTATCACTCGTTCCCGAATGTCCGCCAGAATTCCCGTGCATTGGACTCCGGACTCTGGACATCATCTGTTAGCCCTCAGAAGTTAGGGGCACAGCATATGAGCTGAAGCCAAGCCCTTTGGATTCGACCCTTGAGTACATTCTTAACAGAAGCATTCTGTAGCGAGAGTAAATGGCCTCTGGGGTTAGAGGATGCCAAGTTGGAAAAAATGAGGGAATAGTTTTCTTCCCATAACAGGACAGAAGTTGAAGATGATACCAACTACCTTCAAGCTGTCTATGATGATGAATGTGAGATCCTCCGAACTCTGTCTGCTCAGACACAACAAGTCTTGAAGATCTTAGGAAAACATCCTGATGGTATCCACAGGTGAATCTACCAGTAAATCACCCTTAAACATGCTTTCAGTTGTAGAAGGTGAAGATGATGACTTGAATGATTTCTCAGACCTCAAGGCCTGATAGGATCTCCAAACATGGTATGTACATGTGCATGTGACTGCTAATATCCTGTGCTGATTTTATATCCAGTAGATAGCCCTGCTTCTTTGCCATTTCTGCAGTTTCATTGATTTTTTCTCATCACTTATATCTTTTGTTTTGTACAGCTTGTACAGTTTGTATGTGTTATTAGCTGCATGCTAGAATCAAAGTGTCTATTACATCGATAACAATGACTTGCTTGTTTTCTTCCCCTACCATGATTGTGTCTGACTTGCTCATTTCCCTCTACTTACTGGCACTGATTCTGCTCACAAAAATTCAAATGCAAGGTGTCAGATGTGGTACCAATACCAAGTGCAAAAGCAAGGCTACTGTCCCAAAACCACCTTGGAGATCAGGGCTTAATCTGTCGTGACAGCCAGCCAATGATTAGCTCAATATTCCTTCAGAACAACTATGGACACCTAACAATACCTTCAATCTATATGATAGAGGTGGTGGTGGGCAAGGGAGCCATTCAAGTAAGTGAATTTTGAAGCTAGCAGACTCTCAATACTAATGAAGACACCCCTAATACTTAAGCTGATTCAATACCACCACAGTTTACCCTTGGAGAAGACAGGAATTTTGACATAGATGTTTTGTATGGTTGGGCTAGTAGGTCACTAATCGCAAATGGAGCCGTTGTTATTGTCACAGTATCAAAACATTATACTCACTAATGAGGACCATCAACAAATCACATGCAAGGCAAAATATGGGGTTGTTGGTTGGCTTTTCACAAAGTATGCAATGTCGCAAACTGCAGCAGATCAGAAACACCTCATCAAGAAATCCATTTTGGATGCAGTCCCAAAAGTTTTCTCATCGACCATTGAGTTTTTTTATTAGATTCATCCATGACATGCTACTAACAGGCTTTATAGTTTTATTCAATTCCCTAGTCACTAAAGAACAATATTGTTCTGCATCTCAGGGACTCACAAATGCATCCAGCAAAATTATCAACATCGCTTGCAGTAGCATACCTCATGCATATGAGCTATACCGCCTAAGAGGGCATACAGAATGAATGCCAACTTAATACTGGGTGCATATCGCCACACACTACCCATACAGGCTCATTGACGATTATGCACTTCCATCATTTTGATATGGTATGTGTTTTCATTTTTGGTGTAACGAAATGTCTCATTTTTATTAGGATGGTAATATACATGTTCACCATCATTTCGACCATCCATTCATCGAGCACATTGTGATCCAGTTCATTTGGTATCTTAGACACAAGACCTTCCTTGGGGAATCTCCACTCACAAAGATCAACTACATCATCATGATCGTTGTCACAGCTGTGCACTGTGTGCTGCAGGAACAATGGATGACAATGTCATGCATTGATTCCTTCACAGGTCTGGTCCATAGCAACAAATTTGTTGAGATCATCAACATCCTCGATGGTCTTGATGAAGAAGATAAAAAGGCATTGGAAAGTTTTGAACTTGATATGCTCAAAGTTGGACCATCACAGATGCACAGTGATGTTAAGGCTGATCATCATGATGATTTACACAATATAGTGTAGATAACATAGATCAAAACAAATTTGACATGCTGTAGTGTAGATAATATAGATCAAGACAAATAGGATTGTTTTTGATAATCTTGATAACCATATTTTCATAAATTGCCTGACATTGCTGGCTCAGGGTATAATATAACTAAAAGTATGCATTTACGAACACAAACCTGAGCTAGTCCAAAAATGAACTGCTCAAAAATACTTCAGAGCGAGCTTTGACCAACTCAGCTTTTTAGATGTATGAGTGTTGTGGTGTAATTACCACATTGTATGGCTAAAATGCAAAAATATAAATAAAGGAAAATATTGTAAGAAGGCCTGATACTATGTGGCCTGTCCAGGTTCTGCATATTGCAGTAGTGGGCTGGTCAGCACCAGTATGCAGATGTCCTACATTGCGGCCTGTCCAGGCTCTGCATATTGCAGTAGTGGGCCTGCCGGCACAAATATGCAGATGTCCTACAGTGCGGCCTGTCCAAGTTTTGCATATTGCAGAATATGGATGGCCCAATATCATTAGCCATCCTGGTTTTGCAAACATCGGCCGGCGTACTGTAGGCCTGGTTTTATAGGATATTTGACTGAAGGGTCTGATAATAGAAATGAGTGATGATAGAAATAGACATTGAATGAGACAATAACAGATGTGATGTGATGTGATGTGATGTGATGTGATGTGTGCAAGGAATGATAGCTAAATGAGAAGGGGTGAAAGGGGAAGAAAGGATGAAGTGGGGTAAAACTCAAATAGACCTCTGGACACGAGTATAGATTCAGTCCAAGGGGATTGCTACTTAGTACTGAGAATGATTCCTCTATGGTGCAAATCACTTAGAGGCCGCTTACTTTGTGCAAATATTTTGACTGTTCAAAAAGGTCAGAATCTTGATCCCTCTTGGGAAAACACTCCTTTCGAAGGTAGGAACAAAATCCTAAGACAGATTTTTGATTGGGTCAAAACTGAGTGAGCAAAATATTTCGGTCAGGTCCAATTTGGCGCATGGGTACTATTGCTACCGAATGCTTAGTCAAATGCACTCGCAACAGCATCTGGAATGCGTCTATGTGATTTATATGTTGTGGAACTGAATTTACGGACTTGTATTTGGGCATCTTTGGTACCCAGTCCTGACTGGTAAGCCTCCATCCAGCAGTACATCTGGTGTTCCCACCTATGAATTGTTTGAAGAGGAACTGAGGCTAATGCTTTTGGCATGTTCTCCTTCAGTGTGTCAAAAGTATAGTCGCAATTGTCACGAAGGTATTTTTTCACCATACCCCAAAAGAACTCAATGAAATTGAGCTCACAATGAAACTTTGGCAAGAAAAGGCATAAATGACCAGCTGCCTCGATTACTTCCTGCACCAGAGACCTTTGTTCATGAAAATCTTCTTGAAGTTCCAAGATGTGTTTGTTGCAACAATTGGTTGCATCAGCATTGCACCTGTTTTCGCACTTGCCACGAAGCTGTGGCTGATACAGACCCCGTTCAGTGAGGACCACTTTAATTCCTTTCAGCTGATTTGGGTATTTGGGATGTCCGTCGAGAAAAATCATTGATTGAACAACTTTTTCCTGTCCATTCCAGTACCATCCACTGCACATACAGGACTGTTTGCCACCTGGTTTCACATTCATGCATGAGGTGAGCAGTGCATCTTCTGAATATGCTGAGTGGCCTTGTGAGTTATCGATCAGGAATAATGCTTGATGGCCTGCACCATGCACCCTTTCAAAGGCTGGAATTATTTTTTCGGTCAACTGTAACATTGCACATATGATTACTAATGATGCAGTGAAGTATAGAATTAACAGTATACCTGCTTCACGAAGTGCTCTCCTGTCCAATACCCTTCATAATTTTTCCCATATTCGAGAGTCTGACTTGCTTCCTTCAGCCAACCAGTAGTTGAGCAGATTACATCACTCTTATGGACACCACAACCAACACCCTTCTTTCGTAGACAATGTTCATCACCAAAAACCCAGCTCTTGCTACTCGAATTATTTGCTTGTGCTGTCATTTCGTCGTGTGCAACAAGAATGAGTCGCTGCTCAACATAATTTGCAGGTTGCACCTCCAATTCCTTTTCCACATCTCCAATAGTGTAACAAATAAATCTTGGTTCATGTTTCTTCATCATTGGCAGAAAGTGGTCCTGGCGGTATGAGACAACATCTGGTCTGTCATGACCATCAAAATATAAACCTTTTTTGTGTGAGATATATCGAAAACCTTCACACCATAACCAGCGACGAGCAGTGTTCAATGAAACACCACGGCCAACTTTGACATGAATGCACAGGAACAGCTCGAGTTCCATATATTGTTTGAGTCCAAGTGGCATTTCTTCACGTGTTATTTGGTGCAGATACTCATTGGCAGCGGATGGAATGAGTTTATTTTGTGAAAACTGGGCGAGTTTCTCTGAGTTCATGGCCCATTTGTTTGAACGAATGTATGCCCTGAGTTCAGCAGCAATAGTTGGGTCGCTAAGTAAGCTGTAGACTTTTGTGTGACGCCCTTGCATTAATCTCAGTAATTCTCTTGTCTTCATCCATTGACGGGTCTAACTGCGCACCTGACGGCCACCCCAGGCTGCTGCAAAACCATGTGTCTCTGCAGCCTGTTTTTAAGCACTCGTGAACTGCTGAGCATTCTTGACAACAAGCCTAAGGTGGCTTTCCATTGTGCGTGCACGGCAAGCCCTGAAGCCCTTGCATCCCTCCAACAAACTTTGTCTTTTTTGCTTTCAGCAACTTCTCCAAATCCTTGAATGCGCTCTCCAAGTCTTCCAGTTGCTGTTTTCTTTTTCTCTCTCATTGCACATGATATGGGATATCAAGCTTCTGCCGCTTGTGAAGTGGAACTGCTGGCTGGCGGCAACCTGGACTTGCAGATTTTTCTGTATGTGTATCGTTGCCTTCACTACTATCATCTGTCGTGCTATCTTCGTCATTCGAAAGATCAGAAGGATAATTGACCAGATCAGCAAGATTCTGATTTTTGGTGGTGGGTTCCATTGTAATGGTGTTTGCAGGAGGTCCAGGACCTGTTGAACTTGTTTGTCTCATGACATCTGGACCCTCCAACTTGCAAGAAGTGGCCTTGAAAAAGTTGCGCATCATGGATATCTGAGAGAGTACATTGTCAGTACTATTGATATTTCAAAACTGAAATGACCCACTCACAAGCTTTTGGCCTCCTCACAAATTGCTACTTGATTTTGTGCCTCCTTTGCTCTCTGTTGTTGTGTCCGCTGTGAGTCTCCTGTGTAACCCAATGCATGGTTGTTCTCTGCTTTCTTCCATTCAACAGCTGATTTCTTCATTGCAATCTGAGCATATTTTGGGAATGCCTCAAGAGCTTTATCATGAGCTTTCTTCCTGAGCTCATGTAAATTTGCATCAAGCTCATTTCCTTCCAGTTCAACCATGCTATCCCCATCACTTTCTGACCCATTGGACCACTCTGACTCTGTCGCAGAATTATATTCAGTGTTGGAGAACTGAAAGTTCACACCTCCAGTGTATCCACAGTCCTGTTCGCTGGAGGAGTCATAATCGATCTCAATCACTGCAGGGTTGGATGTGGCAGGCACAGTATTAGAGTCGCTGGTTTTTCAAGCAGTGTAGGGCCATCTTGCAGCTCTTGCGTGAGTGGCAGCAGCCCTCTGTTGTTTAGTGACCATAGTGCTACTACACAGACTCAATGTACTGTATTTCCATTAAAATTTTCAGCTCGTCGAGCTAGTACATTTTTGAACCATGCTGACATCAATTTCTGATTTTTTCACCTTCAATTTGGCGCTTGCACAAAGTAAGCGGCCTCTAAGGGATTTGCACCATAAGTAAAAATATGAGAGAAAACTCAGAAACTGGTAAGAGTAACTGAGAAAGGACAAAATGCAAAGGTTAGCACTAATGTGATGCAAGTGCAAGTGAGCCGCCATAGGTGCAATATGATGTGAAGCTGTGTGGCCAAAGATACGATAAAGTGTGAAAGTGCACTGAAGAGTTAGATGTGAAAGCTGAAAGTGCGTCGCCTGTTCGAGCCAGGCAGGTCGGACCAAAGACTGGAGAAAGTCACCCCGATACGAGAAGATGAAACGCATCGACCCGTCAATGCCCTCAAATAAATACATCAAACTCATAACCGGACTCCCCAGACAACAGACCAGCCTATACACCCAACTACGCACAGGACACATCCCGCTCAACTATCACCTGCACCGTATAGGAAAGAGTGAAACACCTCATTGCCCATTCTGCCCCGACGCGAACAAAACTATCCACCATTTCCTCCTTGATTGCCCGCAATACGCCCGTGAACGTCACTTCCTAAGCAATGCCCTACGTCGCAACGCCTCATCAATCTCCTTTTTGCTCACAGCGGAAGAAGCAACCCTACCACTTATGAGATTCATCAACAGCTCAGGAAGACTTAAACCGACATTCGGTGAGGTTTCAAAAATGTAACATATTGTAACACTCACGCACACGCAACCTAAACACAGACCATATTGTACACCAACAAAACATACATGTAACATCAACACTTCGAATCCGGAGGGGAAAAGACTATCGCAGGACGATCGGTCAATGTAGGAAGGCGAGGCGAAGGACCCAATGCTACCCACCACATCTCACCCCACTGTATGAACTCAGCGTCGGTGTTTGCCCGGCACAATGCTGACGAAGTACGTGAATACCTACCAAGCACACATCAGAACATACATACATACGATAGACAAGCGGGAGAAAACCCCCCGCGAAAAGGGTTATGTCCGTCATAGGGTCTTCGACCCTAAAAGGACAATAAATATGAATTTTTTTTTTAAAAAAAAAAAAGCTGAAAGTGCAAAGGCGAAGCGGTGTGACAATAAATGGGAGGAACAATAAACAATATGCAAGTGTATAAAATGCGGATGTTAGCACAGCCGTTAGAGACACATGTGCAGAGGTATGCCAAAGATTTAGATGTTGAGTTGAGGTGTTATTGTGTGTGAATGGATGATAAATTCTGCAAGGCAGATGAATGTTACATGAAAATTGTAAGTATAAAGTATATATGGGAGTGCACTGAAGCACTATTTAGAGCTGAGTAGGTAGTGGTAATATGTAAGTAGGATCCATAATGCAAGTAATGAGAATATAAAAGAAATAGCTTTGGAATTATGGTTAGTCTAATATGAATTGAGGAAGGTACGCACCAATGGACAGGTGAGGGACATGGATAGGACAGGGGAAGGACATGCAATGGAGCCAAAGAAAAGCCGATGTGCATGTGTAAGCTGCAGCCATTGGCTGATAATGAAATTATTGACACTGTATTAGTGATAGTGCATGCTATGTGAGGACCTGAGGGATGCTGCAAAAATAGCCTCTACAAGGCCACAAGGACTCCAAGTCCTACACCAGGAATAAGTTCCTACAGTGCACCCCTGCAAAAGGTTATGATCCTCATTTGAGCAAGAGCCATGCTGATCCAAGTTATTGCACATCATTCACAGCCTGTGAGTATGTTGATCTTCCTTCAAACCCAAGCCATGATGATCCAAATCATTGCCCACTATTCACAGGATGTGAGCATTGTAGAGACTCATGCCTCTCATTGTGTGATATGGCAGTTTTCTCTAGGGAGTACACAGCACGAACTTGCAGCATCACTCTGTATGCTATCCGCAGCTATTCCCTTACGAGGCGCAGCTTTCCCGCGCAATGCGCAGCACGCGCGCACAACTTCCCGTGCTTTACGATGTATACGCGCGCGCGCTTTCCCACGCTTGAGTGCCCTATAGCGCCCGCCATCTGGAAGCATCCATCCACTGTCCACCAAGTTCTCTAGTGCGTGTATTTCCATTTGCCCTTATTTGCATATCATACCACCTTTATTCTTATCATGGACCCTTACTTACATATATCTTTACATACCTCACTCAGTAGCGCTTCGGCTCTGCATGACAGCGCTTAGGCGCCATATATAAGCGCCAGCAGTACATAATATTACTCACCTAACTCACTTTCCACTTTACCTCCCACTTTCCCACTTACTACCTAGCAGAATATAGTTGCAATCTATTCTTTGGCACCTCGTCTCTCAGCTTGCATCTCTCACCTCATCTAATATCTAATCATCACTTAAGCAAACTCACTCTTACTCTCTCTCATTTCTGCTCACGCACACGTGTGCACCTTCGCTTTCCCGTGCCTCGTCGTGCGCACCTGCACTTTCACGCGCTCCGCATCAGCCAACCAGTAGCGCCTACTACCAGATCCTTGCTGCACTCACTTCCCCTTTAGGGTCGAACGCACTTGTCGTCTCAAGTATAGCAGACTAGGCAACGCGCGACCTCACAACATTATAGATACAGTCAGGAGCCTCATTTGTTCCTCTCTGTATTGTAGTTTCTACAGCGTGTCAATTCTCCTTTGTGGGCAATCGTTAAGACCATGCACAAAGGGTAGGACTGATTCCAAGGGGCTTGGCTTCAGCTCGTGCGCAGTGCCCCTTACCCGAGTATGTGCCCTTAACTTCAGAATGAAGTCCGGAGAAAGTCCAGTGAAGTCCAAAGGACTTCCGGAGGGGTGTGGGAAACTTCAGAAGGACTTTCCGGACGAGTATGAGAAACTTCCAGATGAGTGCAGGAAAGTTCCGGAGGAACTTCCGGAAATTACGATGGAGTTTCGTCCTGACAGGGATATGTGTAATGGCTACTCAGGACAAGTCCTGAGTAGAAGCAAACAGAGGAAAGGCTGCAAGGACAAAGTCCGAAGCAGAATAGGTCCGGAGGACCACGGAAAAGTTCCGGAGGAACTTCCGGAAACTTGGAGGAATGGTGGATCGGAGGAGTGGAGGAGCGGAGGAGCGGCCTAGGGAATGCCTCCCTAGGCCTGAGATGGATATTGACTAAGTTGGAGGACTAGAACTGATGTGAGGACTTAGTGTGAGATCTAGTGTGAGGACTAATATGTGTAATATTCAGACTGAGGAAGTATAGAGACTTTACAGGGTTTATATACTACAGAGGACTTAATGGAGAATCAGTCAGCGCAGTCCGAGGCTATGCGAGGCTATGGATGGAGGATGTAGAAACGTCTAACACTAGTCTATCAGAAAATAGTAAATGAAGACGGAAATGAGGACATAGGAAAAATAAAGGCGGAAATGAAATGAGGTATGGAAAATGAGTTAGCCTAACTTGAGAAGGAACGTACAAAGGGAAAAGGCATGGAAGATAGATGCGGGTTGGATCTGGATGTTCGGAAGTCCAGAGACAGGTGATTACCATAAGGGGATGGGCGCTGATTTAAGGTTTGAGTTCGGACATGACAGATAGGTCAGATCCAGAGATGTGGATGTCAAATCAGATGTCTGGACATTGGATCCGGGAATTGGGCAAATAGAGAAGCTGAAGGTCTGGAGACATGGATAGAGGATCCGGATGTCTGGATGAGGCGTGGGAACATCATCAGATGTAGGTCTGGAATACAGGATATGACAGCAACACCTTTTATGAAGCTTGTACATCAGTGGCACATCAACTGAGTTTTCCGAGCCAGGTGCCAGTGCTCTACCTCCCATCAACCCAAGCTCTCACATTCAAATCTGTATGTTTCTTTTTTTGCTGTGTGGCTGCATCACTGACCTGTTACTTGCAGGATTGACTGTTAATTTGTGCCCCCTCAATTCTACCATCCACACTTCACTTCAAGTCTGTTATCTCCACACTGGCAGCAGATATTTAGCAGTTTAGTCCCTCATTTCACACCACTTAGACTTGCACCTTAAGTTCCTTATTACTTTGTTTTATACCCACTAATAGTGACTTTTGACTGCTTTTTGTTTGCCTGAACCACCTTAACCACTTTGAGTAATCAAATTCCCTTATCCTAAGGATGAGGACAGCGACCTACTTATTTCTTCTTATTTAAAGTAATGAAACTTTTTCTTAATTTTCCTTATTTTACACAATAAATCAAAAAAGTAATGTTAAGGACAAAATAAGGGACTCAATGTTTTC